CATATAGTTAATTAATTAGTTCACTTTCTTATGTTGACCACACAGTCTATTTACTTATAGTTATATCATGAGTTGTCCTTGGCAACAAAGAGCATACCTCAGTATGCTGGATAAACTTTGTGGAATGAAWGACGATGAACTTCAGGAAATTGTTGAGTAAGTTTGATTAATAGCATTAAAAAGCAACGACATTGGTAGTCCAAAAGGCTAAGGCTACAGCTTCTTTTCACAATACTTTAAAATTTGTAATCTCTTCACTTCCTGTGTGCTACATAGCTATCATCAACATCATCATCAATATCAACATATCATCATCAACATCAACATATCATCATTCTTCTTCTTCTTCTTCTTCTTCTTCTTCTTCTTCTTCTTCTTCTTCTTCTTCTTCTTCTTCTTCTTCTACTAATGCTATTATTATTGTTGTTATTACTTATACTTATAAGTTAAAATGAATTTAACATAAAGTATATATTTAACAAAAGGAAATACGAATATTTTCTTTTAAGCTCTGCAAATATTTATCCCAAACCTAAAGAAAACAAGCTGAAGAACAAGATCATAGTCAAGATAGCTGAACGACTGGTTAAGAAGTTTCACTTAAATGGAGGTACAGTACASATCAAAWAAACATAAGAATTTACTTTAGATTTAATATRGAGGTACACGTCAAATAATCATTCAGAATTTACATTATATTTAGTTTGGAGGTACACGTCAAATAATCATTCAGAATTTACTTAAGATTTAATATGAATTCACGACAGCATTGCTTTTGCAGCTTCGTTTTTCTGTATATCAAGCACTTTCTATTTTGTTATTTATGTCGAAAATAACTAAAAAAAATCTAAAGCGTTTACCACTCCTGGGTGGACGGCTTAATGCCTAACAGGCCTTGCGACCCAATTTATAAGGCAGCCAGAAAAACTGGAGAACTCGGAGGAAAAACCCTCGAAGCACAGGATAGAACCAACAAAAAACTCGACCCGGATCGCACTGGTGAGAGGCGGCGCATTAGCAGCGCACGCCACCCGTGCATCCTTAAATCTCTAATGGCTATTCTAATTTTTATTTTATAAAGGGAATCAAAATAAGTTTGCTGTGCTGTGCATCATGCTTTTTCTATTACCCTCTTGTGTTCTGCAAGTTACCGTGTGCGCACAGCACGCACACACATTTTCTATTTCATCATTATGCGTAGGGTTGGGGCAGAATGTGTGGTTATTATTCCTCTCTTCTATGTAATGTTTACAACATAATCTAAGCAGCCAATCTGTCTCGGTATTTATAAGCCAACTTAGAGAACAGTATTTTGTTGTTTTTTGGGGTTTTTTTCTTTTTTTCTTTTTTTTCTTTTCTTTACGACATAATAAGAAAGGAGCTTAGATATCGTTAGATTTGATTAATTACAAATATATTTTTGGATCATTTTTCTACTCTCTTTCTTGCAGAGGATTTTCCAAATGTGTACAAAGAAAAGAACTTCAACGGATTACGATATTTACTGCATAAGAAATATACAGAGGTAATGACTAAAAACTTTTACTTATTAATTAGTCAATTATCAATCAACCAGGGTTCACTCTTTGCCTTTTTGTCCACTAACAAACATTTGAGTTTCTTAATTAAAAATTGGTCAGATCTGTTAAGCATTATTTTAATACTTGCAAATCAGTGTTTGCTGGTAGATTTTTTTAAGAATTCCGAATAAGTACAAATACGAACCATTCTCATCTCTCCAATTTCTTTTAAAAATTAACCATGCTTTAATATCAGCTTTTTTTTTCTTCTAGAAAAACAAATCATCGAAGAAGTGGGACAATCTAATCGAGGTAACTGATCCAGTGACTTTTCTTCTTTCTCACCATTTTTTGCGATCGTTTGTGCTTTAGTTGCTTAATATACTTCTCAGGCCGAGCCATACAAGTTTCCCTTACTAGATTATGAGGCGTTTATTCAGAATTGCTCACTGATTGCGGTGGCATAAAGCGTTGCCAAGTAAAAAACGAACCCTAGCCTTTGATCTCTTGACGACAGATGCAGAGTACCATTTTCCCGCCAATACGCACGCGYACGCGTTTCATGTTTAGAGTTTCCCGCCATTTCCTCAGGATTTCTTCATGAATGAACGAAATTTCAGTGCTGAATACAACGTGCAAATGAAAACAGTATTTTGTAATTATAAAGTTACTCACGGGTTTGAATCTCACCTCAAGCTCGGGTTTTTTTCCTAGAAAAATTAGCTTGATGAAACTTTCAAAAACTTTTTTGAAACATGATTTTAATATCTAATACTTTATCAAGCACAAAAATACCAAATAGAGGTTTTTCGCCATCACGTGCCGGTGCCCATATTACAGCTTGGACTTAGGCTTGGGCTTGTGGTTGGATTTCAGAACAATATAATTACTTTGCTTTCGGGAAATGAATTCTTTCTCACGTAAAACGACTGTATTGTCCCTGCCAAATAACATGGTTGCCGTCACGTGAAGGTGCAAAACCTCTACATTGATTTTTGTATTGCAGTCTGCTATTGGTAATAACTATTGGCTTCAAGAAAGACTCATTGAAGGTCTTGTAGACTATGACGATATTGAAGAGGCTGTTAGATGGACAAACTACTACAAACTCCCTCTGGAAACTGTTCCATTTGTCGTTCAAGAAGCACTAAGAGAATGGTAATTCAATTGTTTGTTTTACGCTTACACTATGATTATAATTATTATTGTAGTTGATACGAGAATTTGATTATCACTCCTGGGTCCGGTTGTACGAAACCTGGATAGCACTATCCGGCGGATAAATCCTTATCCAGTGGATAAGTCGATGCTGTTATCCAATAAATTTATCCACTGGATAAGATTTATCCGTCGGATAGCGCTATCCATGTTTCGTACAACCGGGCCCTGATTAATAGATGTATCCAGCTTTGCTTTTGAGGAGACCATTGTCCCCTTTTTCACATTGTTTAACTTCACCATTTAGCATCAACTGATTTTAAAATGTTTTTTTTCCTAGCACAAACTATTAGGTACTGAAAAGCATATAGAATCTGCAAATCCTCAACAAACAGTGCTTTTCATTTTTTGAAGTAATCAAGTCTATCATCAATTTGTTTAAAGAGTTTTACTTTTGTCTACTGAGTTTAACGTTATTGAATTACATTTTCTTTTCATGATCATATATTTAATAATTATCCACTCAAAAAAAAAAAAAAAAAAAATTCGCTACTGTATCTAGGAAAGTTCAGACATAAATTGTTTTATACATCGACTCCGCTCATATTTTTCTTGTAAAAATTCATGCGTTAATTGACCAATCAAAGCTCGTGTTAACATTAATTTACAATAAAATTGTAATGACAGCATTCGTTTTCTCAGGAATGATGTTGAGGTATCTGATGAGGAAGAGAACTGGGAGCTTGCTGATGAAGACAAGYGCCAAGTGGTTACAGATAGGCAACCTCCTCTAGAGGAATTCCCTCAGAATTCTGTATTGCACCARTTTCCTCTTCCTTTTGAGAAAATCATTTTTATTGACGATGAATGGGGTTTGACAGAGTGTCTGTCTGTTGTCAGCCAGGTAAGTGATGTCTTCTAGTATAAGCTTGCGGAAATTTAAGACTCGATACTTGGGGGTGAACGTTAGGTCGTTATAGCCGCCATGTTAGTTGGCGACAACAAGCACCGTTCATTAGCTTATCTTGTTTGATAAACCATAATCAACATCATCATCATCATCATCATCATCATCATAAGAGTAAATGGTTTGAACCCAGGTGTTGAAGTTTGTTGTGAAATTTGATCGTCTGGGTAAGTGTAGTCTTGAGACTGTTGTTGGTGGTGACTGACATTTCCATAGCCTGAGCGGAAGTCATTTTCAGAGTCCAGTGAGGAAGCGAGAGACAGTCGATGGCATTCGTAATCGTGATCATCATCATCATCATCTTTATTAAGTTGGTAAACGCCAATAGCCATGCAGAACATGGTGAATAGTTTTTCATTGATATTGATATGTCAAGGGATTTTTGGTCGTGCGGTTGCACCTCAAGAATAGAACTTTTCCAAGATACACATTTATACATTTACAAKCCAAAGCCTCGGTTAGATTTTTTTAATTTCCCCCCTAAAGTTGGGTATTATAAATTACTTTTAAAAAACGAAATGAGATAGGGCCCCGACTTTGTTTTTGAGCTATAAGAGATTAAAGCCGTTTTCATGATACTTTGCTTGTCGAAACATTGGAATGAAGTCATCACGATGTGCGCGCGCTCACTAAATTCATGCGTAGAAAGGATGCGCGCGAACAATGCCCGCGTACGTCCTWTACTGAACTAGAACATTAGAAATAAACTATACTGATAGTAGTGATAACTTTATCTATATCACTCGCGTAATCGTACTTTGTCCCCGCTACAAAATAGGGTTTTGGTGGACGTCAATGAAAGTGTTTCCATGACGACGTAATCGGAAAACAAAATTTTCAAGTTCACTGTTTATGGAATGTCATGGAGACGCYTTGATGGATACCACCAAAATCTACTTTCATGTCACGACGAAGATTCCGCGAATATTGCTAAGAACGCACTACAAGAAGACGAACTGAGACCATATTCTATTTCGTGTTTTGTATCATCACAGAAAGGAGCTGTTATTGGTTTTGATGCAGAGTGGAGACCAACCATGTGTCGGGCAGAGAGTAACGACAAGTAATGACTAATTTGCAGCTAAAAATAGCCACATGTAGCTTGGGTGCAATATCCCATTCGTTTGATAATAAGATTATTCAACAAAGTTTAAAAAAGGTTTCAAAGGTTTCAGTATGAGGCTACGTGCTAAATGCTCAGTCATTCGTGACAGCCGGTAAGAATAAATTGAATTTAGCACGTAGCCTCATACTGAAACCTTTGTGCGTGACAATCGAAGCATATCTCGGAAGTGGGCTATTGCAACGGCTTGCATCCTTTAATGCCTCTCTCTCTCTCTTTCAAGAAAAGCCTAGACGTACGTGAGGCCCRAACTTTGCCGACATTACGCCTCAACTTGCCACACGGAGGCGAGAACAACATCCCAAATGCAAAACCTTCAACAACCTTTTTTAAATAGCTGTATACCTTTTTCTAACTTGTTTTATTCATTGTTTTAACACGTCAAGGTTAGCCATTATCCAGCTAGCAACTTGGACGCATGTGTTCATACTTGATATCATCGCTTTGATGAAGAGTGTTAGCTTTGAACAACTTCAGGATTTCGGCCGAAATGTTTTCTCAAACCCAAACGTCCTTAAACTAGGTAAGGTATTTATTTCATTTTATTTTCTTTTGATTGCTTCCATTTTTTTTAATTCATAGCAACGTGTGTTCTTACGCTGGGTTTAAAAAGGCTCTCACCAAAGTGTGTGTGAAAGTGTGTGAAAGGCTCTCACAAGAACTGCTGTGTCATAGGCAATAGACATCTCTAGCATGGGCGTCATGTTTCAGACCACATGCCTTTCTCTTGAGTCTCATTTTGTTGTTGTTTAACAATTGCGTATGAGACGACTCATGAATATGGATACAATTTTTGGGTCTTATTCTCAAGAAAATGACACGTGGTCTGAAATGGCGAAAAAAACACTCCCATGCTAAAGAGGGGTATTAATCATAWWTKTTTTTTWAMMMAAAAWTWWT